TTCCTTTGTTCTTACTCCACCTTGGTTATTCCAGTTTCCCCAGGGTTAGTTTCAGTGCAATGACACTGAATTTTATTTCAGTATTCACTAAATGTTAACTCAACTTTGCAAACTAACCATACCATCCAAAGCAGAATTACACTGTTTTAAGTCCATAGGGTTGTTTGGGGCTCTGACCAAGAGGTCCAGGTTTGCAGAAATCCCAAGGAAACAATATGCAAGATCCAGGTTTGCTTACAAAGTTGTGATAAACAGCAAATTGTTGACTTTGCAGGAGGACTATGTACAATTTCAGGGACACTCCCATTCCAGCTAATGAATCCTGCCAGCCTCTGAGTTTGTTTCCATCACTACTTTATCAAAGACAGAACGTAATGTCTTCCCACACATCCATTTCTTGCCAGAAAGATTGAAAAAGTTGCCCTTGTGCTGTAAATTAAATTTTGTGAGATGTGGCATTGGTGGCCATGGGAACTCCCTTTTCACTCCCCCCACCCAAGCTGTGGCCACACTTTAGGGTATCCAAGCAGCTCAGGATACTGACCAAGTGCTTACCCAATCACCATACCCCCATGCCATCCCCACCCACCCTACAAATAGTTCTGTGAGTTCGCCTCAGAAGTTCAAAGGTAGAGAGCGTGGCACAGGATGCTGTCTGACAGCTTCCTGCTGGGCAGACTTAGAGATAGCGCATGGACCTCACTGGTGGGCAAAATACAGACAGGGTACCTAGCACCGCTAGGCGAACACTTGGGGGAAGAGACCACCAGCCCCACCTACTTCACAGGGTGTCTGTTGTGGGGAGGGGAAGAGAAAGGAGTTTGTAAGCCGCTCTGAGACTCCAAGTGAAGAGCGGGGTATAAATCCAATCTTTTCTTCTCTTTATCGAGGAATGCCAGTGGCTTTTCCACTGTGCATTTTCCTTGCACGAAGGTGTTGCTCCAATAGGGAGAGCCATCCTTCATGGAGCTGAAATCCCATCATATGCCCTCTATACCAGAAGTCGGGCCTTGGGAATACTTGGACACTTCCAGCCTCCTGGCCCTTCCTACCACCACCACCAACGGTGGTGGGTAACAACTGGGTAAGAGGACGGCCCTTGAAGGTCTGCCATGATACCACGCTGGGTGGGTACCACTGGACTGGCCGCGTACCAGCTACAGGACACTATCTACCTCCAATGAAAGATCCGGCATTTACCATTGGAAAACCATCTTGTTCTTTATTGAACACCTTACTTTTGTGGTTCAATTATTTTATTCTGTTTTAATCTGTTTTAATCTTGTTTTATATGTGGGCATTGTTGTCCTCTTGTAAACCGCCCTGAGCCCGCTCACGGGGAGGGCGGGGTAAAAATACTAATAAATAAATAAATAAATACCCCCTTTCGGGAGGCACCACCAAAGGATCAAGTGGAGCCGGACATTAATGCTGCGATCCCAGCCTTACCACTCTCTTGATCCAGGTTTCCTCCAGTAAAGCTCATCCATTGTGTCCATCCCAGGTGTTAGTGTTTGTTGTGGACTATGGGAGGTGGGAGTGTGAGGGGGGGTACTGCACAAGCCACACAATCCTAACAGACAAAATTCCAGTGGGGAACCCATCCTGACAATAATGCTGCCAGAGCAGTGGACAAAGATGGGTGGGAGGGAAATACTACATGACAGGCCACAGTCTTCCCAGCCAAAAGTACATACCCAAAAGCTGCAAGACAGCCTCATGAACCATTTTGAATCGGGGGGGGGGGTGCCTGGGGGGGCATACATACTGCCACAGCAGTGAGTGCAGACACAAATACCATGGGTATGTACTAATGGATTGGTTCTGGTGGCGGTCCCAAGGCACACAGTCCCTGGGCTGGTGACCCATGCAGGAACCACTGTGCAAACAATGCTGTTGGCTTAAGGGGCCGCCTCATTGAGACTTCATGGGTAGCATTCCACGCAGCTGAGTGGAGCTGGTCAGTTTCACAGGGCAGTCCCCTATGTTGGCCTGCTTAGCCCATCTGGATCCCAGCTGCCCTGGGGATATTCACCTATGCAAATGCAGGACTTGGGTGGCACACAGCAGTGCCCACCAGGCAACTGCAGCTGCTGATGGCAAAAATGAAGGGTGCTACAGTCAATACGCGCATCACCCTACCTGATGGCTTCCCTGCCTCATGGCTACCATGAGGGTTAATGCCATCACTATGTGTGCAAAGCCAGGTCCTAGCCACCCGAAGCCATCCCAGGGCCCAGGGCCCATAGAGTTAGGAGCATCCACCTACCTTCGGGTGGATGCTGAGGGCCTGCACCATGGAGCAATCAGCCATCTGTACAGGTTTGTGGTCCTTTCCCCCCTTTGCTCCATAGTGCTCATGGAAATTAAACCTTGGCCTCTGGCCTGGGGAGCGACTTATGCCTGGCATGACCATCTCACCCAGCAGAAATTCCTAGCTCTATAGTCACTGTTGTCCCTTCCCTTGTTCAGGGGACCAACCCATTTGGAAAAACAGATTCAGTGACAGGGGGACTTTCCATTGCTGCAGCCATGGAGGACCGAGGGGCACAGTGCCATGCAGAGGTGTCCCTACACCATCGACACTCCCTTCAGAGCCCAGAAGTTCAGAAGGCTGCTGCAAATGGGCTATGGAAATGCAACTGTAGTCCCGAGCAAGCCCTGAACCTGGCCACCTGTCACCAGGGGATTTGCCTGCTGGTGCCACGGAGGAGGGGAGGACTCTGGCCACTTGCTGGGTCTCTAGCCACACGGCTTGCATCCGGCATGGCCCATCCCACCTGCCCTTTCCTCCATGTGGGCAGCAATCAAGCGGGAGCAGCTGGAGAGTCATTGCAAGTGGTGGGAAGCTTTTGGCAGGCGCCAGCAATGAATGAAGGGGCTGGCCGCATCTGTAAAGGCAGTTGCTGGGCACCTGGAGGGGCTTCTTGCCCTAGCAAGAGATGCCAGTGAGGGACAGGAGCACCTCGAGAGGCTACTGGGGGACCTCTCCGAGTCTCTCCAGCCCCCCCGTCACCCCTGCCCCTCCTCCTGCCGTGCCAGCTTAATTACGCCCAGTGAGCTTCCATGGCACAAGCGGGGATTTGAACCTGGGTCTTCCAGAGTCCAACACTCTGAACCACTACACCATACTGGTGTAGTGTAAATCCTCATTTAACTTTGCAGGTAAGAGTGATGGGTAAGCATCTTTAGTCAGCACTAGGTACTACCAAGGTGTGTTGAATGCTTATTCAGAATGTTTATCAGATGAGTATGCTCTGATTAGTGGTGGTGGAGGTGGAGGGACAATGAATTCATTATTGGTTGGGGGGGTTGCCCTGTTAGTTTACATCAACTCTCCTTTTTGGTTCTATTTGACTATTCAGCAGGATTAGCTACCATCTGTCAAACAGACAATGTGGAGGGGGAAAATGTGTACTTTGAGCTCATTACAACTTCCTACACAACAAAACCAAATTAGCTGCCATTTGAAATCTTCTCAAAACACAGCTTGAAGCTGTAAAAATATTTTCTAGTTTCTATAGTATTAGAGTTTGATTTAGATGGATCGCTCCTGCTAAGTTTATTCTTACACTAATAGGTCCAGAAAGCTCCTGAGTGGTAGCTGCCAAGTATATCACATCTGCATTTCGGGGGAATTGCGATACAGTGATGCAGTCCTAAATTTGTTTTGGTTCTTATAAGATTAGGCCAGGTAGGTCAGACTGAATCTCAAAATATGAATGTAAAAATATTGATTAAAGCTGCTTTTGCCCATCTGCATATAGATCTTGTTCTGGAGAGAAAATTAATTAAAGTGAGCCATTATGGCTTTTGTTGGTTGATGTAATGGGAATGTGTTTATTCCCCATATCCTAAGCTGTCAGCTTTCTGGCTTTGGGGAGCATCTACTTAAATCAGAAGTGCCCAAGTAGCTAAGCATTTGCCAAGGGGCCAGCTCACATATTGTTGCTGAAATCAACACTCATACTCTTGAAACCTTATTTACGAAGCGTGTAACATCACTGAGCACCCAAACATATTGTGATGGGGGATGTAAGCGAATCTGGCTCATTGCCTGTTGGGAAAGAATTCTAATGTATAATGTAATGTTTGTTTTCAACATTTTGATTTAAGTGTCTATTCTTTTCTTACCTTGAAGTGCCCTGACCTGGATAGCCCAGCCTAGCTCCTTTTCCTTAGATCTTGGAAGATGAGGAGGGCTGGGCTGGCCCTAGTTAGTATTTGGATGAGAGACCACCAAGGAAGTCCAGGGTCTTATGTTCAGGTCTCTTGTGTCCAGGTTCTTCTCCACTGTATCCTATGCTATTCTGTCAGCAGTTGTTTCTGGTACTCTGCAAGAGTCGGACAACACATTTTTCATCTCTCTGTTCTTCCTAGATGTTTTGATTTTAAATCAAGACTTTGGATGGTTTGATTCATTCAAGTGGCTTCCTGTACAGAGGGTATAACATAGCGAAATGTCATGATCTAAAGAAAAAGTAAACTAGGGTTCGGGTAATTGTCATAATGTCTGCTGTCCACCAGCATCAACATATTGTGATTGATCATTAAATTGTAATATTGCATAAGTGGAACGCTGACTTTTCTGCACATTTTATATTTGTATTTAATTTTCACTTTTCAAGGCACACATCATTATAAAAACAATATAGCAATTTAATTCCCTGTATTTTGGCATGTGAAACAACAGATTGGTTCTTGTTCTATTACTCTCATTTTTATATAACAATCTAAAATAAGAGGTCAGGGGTGTGTGTGTGTGTGTGTGTGTGAAAACCCATTCTTGTATGTGATCATTTTAATATTCAGTAATTAAACAGTAATGATATCAGTAACTGACAGTGTTTGATTAGTCTCCCCTCCTGTCTTTTTGCCCAGTTCTGGAACATATGTGTTAATTTAATTATGAAAACTGTTCAGGATGGTCCAAAGAGAAATGATACTTTATTTTGCTGCATGCTAAAACAGCACAATTTTAATGACATCTCTTTCAACAGTGTTCATACATCCCACCCTGTGAAAGAGAAAATCAGAAAAACTCTGAAATGATAATGCACTGGCAGGATTACTGGCAAGACAAAATTGGCTCTCCCCCTTTCATATGTTACTTCAACCAGCACCTCAGGTGAGTATTTTTGTGTATCTGGCACTTCGTATGTACCTCCTTTGGTGCTCTGTTCTGTAGTCTAGCCTTGTTGGAAGCAAAATCCCAGGAGAGGTTCAAGTTGAAATAGAACTGAGTTCCAGATAGCATTATTTCTGTGAGGAAGACACTCTGGAATAGATCTTGGGCAAATTCATGTTGCACCAATTGTAAACTTAGTGCATAGGAAAAATTTGGTCTGCATCAGTCTGTCTTTTGGTACATGATGGGGGATGGCTTGCTTTCTCCAGTGTTGTGTGGAATCCCTGTTTGAGGCCTTTGGAGCTATCACTCTGCCTTATATCTGCTCTTTGAACATCCACACCACTACCTCAGTTGTGTGGATAGTTTTGCAGTGGGACTGTAAGTTGGATAAGCCTGCCCCTTCAAATGCTTGCCTGACCCAGATGATTCTCTTATCCCTTCCAGCTTTATGACACAGCATTGAATTATGCTAATTCTGAATTCTAAAGTATCCTTGGGGATAAGACACATTACACTTGGGAAGATTGTTGAACTAAATATGCATACAGTGAGGTTAAACATATGAATATGTCTTGTACCAAGTCACCACTGGTCTCTCTAGTACTGTCTTCTCCAACTGGCAGTGACTTCCATGAACCAAGAGAAGGGTGTTCCCCAACATTCGCTCGGCTGGGATCTTTTAACTGGAGCTCAGGGGGACTGACATTCGGAAGTTATTCGTGCTATGTATGTGAGCCATGTTCCCTCCCCAATATGTCTGCAAGTTTATGGGAGTGTCGTTTTAAAAATTAGTTCCCAGATAAAACAAGATTTTCATCAGGGGATAAGTATAACGTGCACTTCCCAACCACACAGTGTTTAGACATTTCTCTGTCAAAAATTTGCCAAAGGTAAAACTTTGCTCATGAAATGTTATTGTAGAAAATATTGTGTATGTGAACCCTGCCAAATGTATGCAGGGTATTCTGGCTTGTGGAGAAGTCATAGGAAGCATTTTGCAGAGGCCTTTGCACATACAGAATGACTATCAGGCCTGGGTACATGATGTCATCCAATCCAGCTCCTAGGAGCTGTGTATGCATGGAGAAGAATAAAAGAGATTGGATTTATACCCTGCCCTTCACTACCTGAAGAAGTCTCAGAGTGGTTTACAATCTCCTTCCCCTCTCCACAACGGACACCCTGTGAGGTATGTGGGGCTGAGAGAGCTCTTTTGAGAACTGCTTGTGAGAGAACAACTCTGAAATAACTTGTAACTGACCCAAGGTCACACCAGCAGCTGCATTTAGAGGAGTGGGGAATCAAACCCGGTTCTCCCAGTTTAGAGTCCATGCTCTTAACTACTACACCAAACTGGCTCTTCCAGTCAGCAGTCTAGCTCAGAAATTGAGGGTTGGACAGAGCAGTTGTGTAGCCATTAGTCTGAATGAGGGGAGACTGCTGAACAGGTGTGAATGGCCTCTGCAATTTACCTGGCTGTTGCAGAAAGTGAAAATAAATAACTGTGCACATAAATGAGGAAGGAAACATAACTGGGCACCAAGTTCAGTCAATCCAGGGTTCTGGAAACTCTGCTAGGAGATGTGGCAGGTCTATCATGGCTCACCATGGTCAGCTGCAAAGATATGTGCCAGCCAGGTGTGACAGCTGTGCACAAGTTACTTCTTAACGGCTAGTGTAAAGTAAGTACAGTTATGTTTAGACTAAGCAGAAGGCATACAGGGATCAGCATACTGGAATTCTGCCATTTTACATAGTAGTGTTGGGATAATTTATTTTATTTATTTATTTATCATATTTATACCCCGCCCATCCTGCGAACAGGCTCAGGGCGGCTAACAAGCGGTACCACGTACCTAATTAGTATACCATAAAAATCTTAAAACTCTATAAAATTACATAAGATATACTCAATTCAGCCCATAAACAAACAATTAATAATAAAGTGCATACAGTAATGAAAATTAGATGGCATGCATTCCAGATCTCAATCTCAATAATGCGTCCGAAGGGTAATTTCATTTAGGCACTGACCATTCTTAAGGGATAGGGAATTCCAAGGTGAAGAAGCAGCCACCAAGAAGAGTTCTCACTGTGCCTTTGCTTCTTTTGTTTAGTATGTGGATGATGAACATGATAGGTATCTTTGGTTGATCTTGGATAATTTTATTCATTTAATCTCTAACCTGCTTTCATCTCTATCCAATGAAAGCCCATGTAGCAATAAATCCAGTGACTCTGAATGAGTTAGGGAGATTACATTGAGTTAGGGAGGTGTAATGTATTCAGCCTGACATGCCCGGACTTGCCCGGGCTGGCCAGGCATAACTCTTCAATAGCTTCATGTCCAAAGACAATGGGTTCGTAGGATCCTAGCCGGCCCAATCAAAGGGCCAGCTTCTCAGCCGGGAGACCAATGGTCGCCCGGTTACTGTAAATTGCCTATCGGGAGTAGGGGGTGTGTTTAGGTGTACTTGGTGGCGGGTTTTCTGAACATATATAACCAGCCTGCGAGCTGGTCCCGTCGTCTTTGTCCTGAACTAAATAAAGGTATGCTTAGCTGAAATCACTCTCCGTCTGCATACTTTTCACTGGCGACGAAGGTGGGATCCACGACCCCATGAACAAAGACCCGGACGCCAACACGAGCACCGCACCGAGCCCCGACGCCGAGACCTCCGGGAACCGCGCCGCTTCGCTTCCCAGCTCTCCGGCAACCGCTCATCGCGCAGCTCCCGGCTCCGCCTCGCTCCCTGCTGACCCCGAGAGCAGCAGCGGCCCCCACAACGCTCCAGACGCCATCGCCGTTCCAGAGGCCACCCCACCACGTGGCTGCAACACAATGGCGACCACGACCGCAACTGAAAGCCTGCCTGCTTTCGATCTCTCCCAGCCCTCGCTGTGGGACACCTGGCTGGACACGCTGGAGAGCCGCTGCACCATCCACAAGGTGGTGGATGACGCGATGAAGAAGGCTTACCTGCTGAGCCACTGCGGAATCCAGACCCATCGGCTCCTCAAGGACTTAATCTCGCCCAAACTAACGAAGGACGAGTCATACAGCTCCTTAGTCCAGGCCCTGACCGACCATCTGGCTCCCAAACCCACGAAGTACGTGGAGCGGTTGGACTTCTTCGCAAGAGTTCAGGCCTCCGGCGAAACCACCTCCGATTTTCTGGCGGCGCTGCGGAGCCTGGCGACCCGGTGCTCCTTCCCCAGCCTCGACGATACCCTCCTGAACCAGTTCCTCGTCGGACTCCGGGAGCCGAAGCTGCAGAGGAAACTGGTGAGCCAGAACGATCTGAGCCTGGACAAGGCCATCCGGGAGGCCTCAGCATACGAACAAGCGCGACAAGACCGCCGCGCCAAGGCGGTCCACCGTACCCAAGTGAGCAGCGGCTCCGACGTCTCGGACCAAGAGGAAGTCCTACAACTCCGACAGCGGACTCAGCAGCGATCAAAACACGTATCCTCCAGGACCTCCAAGGCCCCGTCTCCAAGTCAGTGCGCCAGCTGCGGGGAGGATCACGAACGCAGGTCGTGCCGTTTCCGGAATGCGGTCTGCCGTTCCTGCAACAAGGCAGGACACATCGCCAAGGTCTGCCGGTCCAAGGGACAACGACCGAGATCGGCCACCCACCAGACCACCGCGGAACTGCCCCTGGAGCTCCACACCGTGTCGTCCCACTTTCCACAGCACCAGGTCTGTAACCTGCCCCCCGACGGCCCAAATAAAATGCATGTGACGGTCCTCATAGAGGGAGCCCCCTGCACCATGGAGATCGACACCGGGTCGACCTACTCCATAATATCCGCGGACACGCTCCGTGCACTGTGTCCTCGGGGGGGGCCACCACTACAGAAGTCACGGGGTTTCCGGTTACGGGACTTTAACAAAAACCCCGTGGCGGTGGTGGGCTGGGGCAAGTTCCGGGTCCAGTTTCAGGGTTTCAAGGGCCAACTGGACCTACTGGTTGTGGACCGGCCCCTCTCCAGCTTGTTGGGACTGGCCTGGTTCAAGGCCCTGGGGCTCTCCGTTACGGGCATCAACCAGGTTGGAGCGCAGGATTTCGGGGCGGTGTGCGCAGAATTTCCCCGCATCTTCGATGGGACCCTGGGGCGGTACACGGGCCCTGCCATTTCCCTGGACCTAGACCCCGCGATACGCCCCATCCGCATCAGGGCCCGGCTGCCCCCGATCTCCATGAGGCCGAAGGTGGAGGCCGAGCTCGATCGCCTAGTTGAGCAAGGCGTGCTAGAACCGGTGGCGTCGGCCCGGTGGGAGACCCCCATTGTCACACCACTCAAGCCGAACGGGGACGTCCGCATCTGCGCGGACTATAAATGCACCATAAACAAAGCCCTGCAGCCCCACGCGTACCCGGTGCCGGTAGTAAGCCAAGTGCTGGCAGCCCTGGCAGGGGCTCGGGTGTTCGGCAAACTGGACTTGGCCCAGGCGTACCAGCAGCTACCGGTGGACGCCGCCACGGCCGAGGCACAGACCATTGCGACCCACAAAGGGGCCTTCAAGGTGCACCGCCTCCAGTTCGGGGTCTCAGTCGCGCCGGGGATCTTTCAATCTTTTATGGATTCCCTCCTTAAAGGCATCCCCGGAGTTCAGCCGTTTCTAGACGACGTGCTGATCGCCGCGCCAGACCCCTCGTCCTTCGCAGACCGTCTGAGGGCCGTTTTACAACGCTTCGACGCGGCGGGCCTCAAGGTGAAACGGGAGAAGTGCCTACTGGGGGTGCCGCGGGTGGAGTTTCTGGGCTTCGCGGTGGACGCCGCCGGCCTGCACCCCTCCCAGGACAAGGTAGAAGCCATCACACACGCCCCGGCCCCGAAGTCCAAAACGGAGCTACAGGCGTTCCTAGGCCTGGTGAACTTCTACCACTCCTTTTTGCCCCTGAAGGCGGCCGTCGCGGAGCCGCTCCACCGCCTCCTCGACAAGTCGGCGCAATGGGCCTGGGGGCCACCACACGACGCAGCTTTCCAAA